ATTATTATTGTATTGATGTCAACATATTTATTATTACTGTACACTTGAGTACCCCTAATGCTTAGAGATGTTAGATAATGCTTCCTAGAACTCATTAGTGTGAATAAAAGCTGCTACTGCTGCTGCTGCTGCTGCTGCTGCTGCTGCCGTTGTTTACACCTTGCTCGACTGCACCACCTGTTCGACACTCAACCACTCAACCACTTTGGGGGCATCGTGAGAAAAAGCGTATGTTTACTGTTTGGGTCCTGAAGAAAAGCTATCGCCGTAATTAAATTGAAATCAAAACAAACGCGCTTTTCACATCCACATTGCAGACGACGCACAGACGGTCCTAATGGGCTTTTGGCTACTTGGCCGGTTGGTTGTTTGCCTGGTCAGTGGAGGCAAACTTCTTAGGTTACTTTAAAGTCATGGCAACAGTAACAGTAATTTAATGCACTGCCAACTGCGCCTTCCAGAAAGGTAGAGAACGAGAGCCACTCGATGCGTTGCGTATACGCCATGTTGCCAGCCATCGGTATTGGTCCATTAGACACGCGCGCTACTCTGTGTGTTTCCATGGCGGCTTTCGCTTTGCGTTTGTTTGAGCTTCAAATCCAACTAATTAAAATCTACGCAGCTGTCTTTTAAGTCGCAAAAGGTAAAGTCTAGTCGCCTCTGGCACCGTCTACTCGTACTCAACTAGCCGGGCCATAATCAGCATGCATGTGGCTGCTGCTCGACTGACGCTGGCGGGCTCTCCTGATGAATATTTATCAGCACAGCAGACATTAATACTTTTGTTTACATATTTACACACACACACAAAGTGTATCGGTGTGTGTGTGATGTAGACTTATACGCAATGTAGCAACACGAACACCGCTGTGTGTGGGGCATGAGTGGAAGCAATTATAATACTCTCTACTCGAGTATGCGGAAGCAGCTGTGGAACTTTAAATATTTTTAATTAAAACTGAAGAATCCAAGAAGTTCTCAAGTAAAATTTTTGTTATCCATAGCATGAAGATTATCTTATGATTAACTTATAAGCTATTTATTTATTGTGATTTAATTCCCTTTAAAATTTTATAACATTCCTTCCAACTAAACGTTTCAGGATAGAATAAATTTTGACTTGAGGAGGAATTTTGACAAACACGGAAGAGTACTACTACTAATAACCACTTAACAGTTAGGGCATACTTCAAAATACATCCACTTTGAATCTGGTATGTGGCCACTTAATATCCGTACAATTACTATAGTAATATAAGGATTTTCCACGAACTACTCAATTCACTTGAAGCAAAGTCTTTAAGTCAACAACATTTCTCTATGACCTTAAGTTTATATACCAAAAATTATACTAATTACGGAATAAAGTTCTGCTGCATATAACAAGAGGGTTGGTCTTATTATATTATTATTTATAATTGGATGGATAGGATATTATTATATTATTATTTTCAATTGTGTTGGTAAGATATTAAAAATGAATGGCATGTCTCAACACTTATAAATAATAATGATAATATCCGTGTTTATGCACAAAATATGTGTTTACCTAGACAGCAAATAATTAGCCTAATCTCTTAATCACGCACTCGACATCCGGTGGGAATCATCCATCAGGGCGCGTGGCGTTAGGGAATTCGAGTTTCGGCCTCGTTTCGTTGTAGTCAGCTAGCGAATTCTATTGTTTACATGGCTGGCTGGCTGGCTGGGCAAACAGCAGTCGGTCGACTGCTCGCATCAGACGAGTGTCCACATGCACTTGGTCCTAATGCCGTGGAAACGGAGGAGAGCTTAGCTCAAGTGTTAATTGATATTTTACTGTATTCATTTTCAAGTGTATTGCTTCCAAGTAATCTGCTGATAATTGTTGGGGCGTGGAGCGATTATCATCATAATGATGATGACAATACCGATGATGATGATGAATAAGTCTGTGGCCATGTCCCTGGCAGGAGCTCTGGCCCTGGACGATGACGCCGACGACGCAAAAAGTGTCCAATAAATGTTTCATAGTTGTTGCTGGCATTGTTGACCTTATCAGAGGCAAACACACACACACACACACACACACACACACAGACATGCACACATGTAGACAAAACAGAGGGAGCTATAAACATATACTCACACCCACGCAGACGTCCATTGTAGTGCCCCTTGGCGTATAGTATAAAATATTTGCTGCCTCCTGCTGCTGCTGCCGTTGCCGTTGTTGAAAAGTATGCAATAATGTTTGGAACTGGGCCAAAAATGCGGGCAGGTCTCGTCTGGCTTAGGTGGGACAGCTGGCACATGGATAACGGCCAGCCAAACTATACGATAAAGGCAAGAAAGATGCAAAACACAGTTGGGCATAGCCAAGCGAATAAATACCCTGTAAAAGCGGCAGGCTTGAAATGAGACATACAAAATAATGAAGTTAAT